GAGCCCGATGCGGGACTTGATCCCAGGACCCTGAGATCATGACCTGAGCCGAAGGCAGAGGCTTTAACCACTGAGCCACCCAGGCGCCCCAGAAAAGCCACTTCTGTGGCAACAAGAGCCAACAGCTCCCATGGGTGACAGAAACTTTGAGGGTGACAAGAGAACAAGAGTAGTACAGTACAGAGACTGCACACAGTACAGCTATGTTATAGACAGGCCATGCCTAAAAGGGTCTATCTTCCTCCCTCACTCCTTCCACATACCTTTCAAAGTTCTTTTTTTTTTTTAATTTAAGATTTTACTTATTCATTAGAGAGAGAGTGAGAGAGAACAGAGGGAGAGGCAGAGGCAGAAGGAGAAGCAGACTCCCTGGTAAGCTGGGAGCCCGATGTGGGGCTCAATCCCAGGACCTGCAGATCACAACCTAAGCCAAAGGCAGACACTTAACCATGTGAGCCACCCACGTGCCCTCCTTTCAAAGTTCTTTAACTGAAAAACTAAGGAGGTAAAATCTCATTTTCTCCATAAATAAAAAAAATCTTAATAGTTTCTCAGTTGAGAAACAGTTTAAATTATTTATGATGGGGTGCATAAAAGGCTGCTGATCATGGTTTTAAATTTAACCTACTGCCTGAAATAGACTCAAAATGAGAAAAGCTTACTTGCCATAGAAAATTATAAATATATAACAATCTGGTAACACTCTAGAAAATAAAATTGAGAAGTTTCTCTTAATAGGAAAACTCAGAATATCATCTGTATACAAATACTTAAAGGTGTGGTGTTTTTGTTTTTTAACAGACTAAAAAGAGTATACAAGAGGAAAGTGTTGTAACTTAAAGAAAGCAAATGAAGGAAAACAAGTTTTCCTCAAAAGAACTTGTATGCAGAAATTTATTACCAACAAATTTGTGACTCAGAGAATTGCTTTATATATGTCCTACAACTCAAATAAAAAATTTTTCTGATTCTTCTGTTGTTTCTGTATGTGTTCCTCACCATTACTTTCTTAGCTGTGGGTATAAGAACTTTGTTAACTTCCTCATCCATTAAATATTTAGAGACATCCAGCATTCAGCTGGCTCCTGAAAGATACAAATCAGATAAAAACTCTACCTTCCAGAAGCTTCCAGCTAGTTTAGCAGAGGACATGTAAATAAATCAATAGTAGACTTTGAATAAGACAGAACTCCTGACTCCTGACCACAAGCTGCTCCCGGCTAAACAGGGAGATAGATGAGTGACCATGTATGTCATGATATAAGACACCATGAGAACTCAGAAAGAATGGCTAATTCTAACCAGGGAGAAAGAGGAGGCAGAATTTAGAGAGATGAGCCAGACTGGAGACATAAGGATGGGTGAGGAGTGTGCCAAATCAAGGAAGTGGTGAAAAACAAAGAAATCTGAGGCACAGTGCTAGAACATTCATCATGTTACTTCATGACAATGCAACTAGTAGGTAGTGCGATCTCAAGGAAACTGAGGCTCAGAAGAGTTAGGTGACCTGTCTGCAGTCACACAGCTTATAAGAAGCAGAGCTAGTATTCAATCCCAAATCTGTTAGTCTCCAAAAGCATACCACACTCCTCTCAAGGGCAGGAGGGTTTTTCTGGCCTCAAGCAGAACAGGCATTATGTGCTCAGAGAGAGGTAGTCTGAGTGGCGGTGGGGTACAGGGTATATGGAACCGAGAAGAGGGTGGGAAACAAGGTGATAAAGGTAAGTCAAGAGCCCTAACCAAGAGCTCAGGCCATAGCCAACAGGAACATTGAAGGATGTGAGCAGAGGAGTGATATGGTAATGCTCAGAAGGAATCTTCTTGTAGCAAGTAGGAGAGAGGGAAGAAAGGTAAGTTTGGCAGTAGTTAATGGTCTGCGTTAGACAGGTCTGAGTTAGATATCTTATGGGCAAAATGAAGGGAGCAGTGCCAGGAACAAAAGAAAGGAGGCTGCCTTGGGAGACTAAGGAGGCTGAAGTTTCAACTTGATAATGACCTGGGCTGTGGGCAAGAGAGTAAAAAGATTTCTGTTCTGAGTGCTGTCTGTCTAGGTAGATGGTGCTGCCATGCATCAATATAGGGAATACAGCGGAAAAGTGTATAAAAGCGGAAAGGAAACTAATTTCTTAGGACACACTGAGTTTGAAGGGATAGTAGGGGCAGCTAGAGGTCCAGGAAATGGGGAGGGGAGGGGGAGAATGTATGTGGAGAGCTAGTAATAAGGCTGGGCTGGAGAGGGAGATATGGCAGGTACCAGTGCACGCAGAAGTGACAGGTACAGCTTTGGATGTGGATAAGGTTGACTAGGGAGAATGGAGTAATGAGAGACAAAAACCTGAAGGTGGAAACGCTTGCAAACACCAACATGTAAATAAGCAGGGAGAGGAGGACTGAGATGAAGGAAAAAGTGGTCATGAGAGATACAAAGACCAAGTGATAAGGATATTCAAACAAAAAGAGCTTTAGTTTGATTTGAGTTTGGAAGATAAAGGAAGGCTTCCTGGAGGAGGTGATATTTGAGATGAGTCAAAAAATGGAAGAATCTGGGGGTTCAGAGAGAACGAAGGGGGCAAAAGGAAAAGGGTACTCCAGATAAACTTCCAGATGAAGCTGAATGACATTAGTAAAAGCAGCAGGGGTGGACAATATGGTGGGGAGGAAGGTGCACAAAGTTGCAGGATAAGAGGCGAGTAAAATGCATAAAGCAATTTGGGGGAGGAAGCAGGAAGTGGTTCCCATTTCTCATCTAACTTCTGGCTCCCAACCACTCACTGGTTAACTGGTTTTACCTTCCTTATAACCTCATAACCTTTCAATAAGAAACACCCATATGGAAGCTAAGTAACTTTTCAGTTTGGAGTGCTGTCATGGCTTGGGAGAAAGATTACAGGCATGGTGTTAGAATTTTCATTTAAGCCTAAGTTCTGCACTTCTTAGCCATGTGACATGGGCACTTACCTTGTGAACATTAATTTTATGACACATAAAGTAGGTGTGTCAGGTGTTAAACTACTGTCTCTTGGCTTCAATGCCACCCTTCTAGCCCCTGTTATGTGATGCTAGGGATGGGATTCTGCAGTGTTTCTGCTTTGCCAGCTGTTCCCTGCTGGACTCTGCTAAAATAACACTAGAGGGAAACTGCATGGATGGAGAGGAAGGGACTTTTATACCTTCCTGTTAGTTCTCTGTCTGCTTGAGCCTCCCCAGCAACGGTTCTTCCCTTGGGCAGCAGCAGTAGTTCATTTTAGTAGCAGTAGTTGATTTCAGTTTGTAGTTTTTCCAATGTTCACAGAATCAGGAAAATCACCTCAGGACTTGCACTTGCTGTTCCCTTTCCCTGGGATGCTCTTCCTCCAGATATTTGCATGGCCCACTTGTTCAGTCCTTCAGATCTTAATGAAATGTCATCTCAACAAGGTCTTCACTAACTACCCTATTTGAAATTACAACCTCTTCCCCACTCATTGTCAGCCTCCCTTTTCTGCTTAATTTTTTTCATACTCACCACCAACTGACATTCTACATGACTTTGTGTATTGTGTGTCTGTCCCTACCAAAAAGGAAGCATCACAAAGACAAGGATTTGTTTTGCTTTGTTTATGGCTGTGTTCCCAGTGCCTAGAAAGTTCTTGGCCAGTGGCAGATACTCGGGAAATATTTGTTGGATGAATGAATGTAAGCTAAAAATTATTAAGTTTCCACATGCAGAAGAAGAAAAGTATTCCCTCCCAGAGGACTGAATCTTTTGAAGAAATACTGGCTGCCCTAAATACCTATATTCTACTCAATATTAAGGAAAGTGCTTATTTACCAAAAACTACAATAAAAACCAAGAGGATATTCCAAAGAACTGTTTTTGGCAAAAGCATCCGTGCACTCTTCATTCATTCTTCTACAACATCCCTTAAAAGGAGGCCTT